AGCCTGGACAGTCACCTAATGTTTCTCAGCATTGTTGGTGCATTCAAATTGGCTACAGGCCTAGAGTATCTGACAGACCATTTTCAGAAGCAGGAATTCTGAAAGACCATCTTACCCTGTCTTGGCAGAGTACAGTGGTTGCTTTCCTTGTGTCCTGCTTGTCCAGAAGAACAGCATTGCCTTCGTACTGTCAGCCGTCAAGGCAAGGGCAGTTCTTTGCCCAGTAGGCCATTTTGTGCCAAGAAGACAAATTTCCAAATGGAAATGTCTTAGAAGCCCAACATTCTCTCTGGATCAAATTGGTGCTGCCAGGAGCAGTTGTGTCTCACGTGAACAGAATTCTAAGTTATTTAAATGCCATATTCTCTAGGTCTGTGAAGTGTTTGAAGATTACCTGTCCATCTGACGTATGCATCTGTAAATCTGGATAACCTAACTAATGTAACTATAGAGATGACAAGCATAGGTGACTATAAATCTATAAGTCTTATCTACTGAAATAACCTAAGAACTAAGGCTTCATGTAAACAAGGTAAACAGTCTATAAGCAAATGTACGGTAAAGGACAATGACTTCAAAATTGTGACAGTACACAAAATATTTATAACAGAGGTAGGAATGTATAGTTCAATATGCAATATGGCAATAATCTTAAATATATATCAATATACAGAATAACTTAAACAGAAGTAGAACATACATACAGTATGACAGATATAAATTTACATTTGTATCAATATACAAATATTTCAAATAAGAGTAGAAATATATGTACATTATAACAAATATAGTTCTGTATTTGTATCAATATGTAAATTATCTGAAACAGGAATATAAAAATAGTTTACATTTGTATCAACATATAAGAATCCATAATGGACTGGAGAGATGACTCAGAGGTTAAGAGCACTGACTGCTTTTCCAGAGGTCCTGAGTTCAATTCCCAGCAACCACATGGTGGCTCACAACCATCTGTAATGAGATCTGGCATCCTCTCCTGGTCTGCGGGCATACATGCAGGCAGAACACTGTATACATAATAAATAAATTAAATCTTAAAAAAAAAGTATCCATAACAGTACAAATTATCTAAGGCTGCTATTTTACTAAATTTGTTTACTAGTATATATAATAATCTACCATAATATCTTATACCTATCCATTCCATTTTTGGCTACCTACTATAGAACTTCAGCTAGACATGTATTTAGAATAATCACCATTTTCTCTAAAAAATCCATTTTCTCTGGATGATGTTCAGTATAATTTTATTTTTCATTTTGTAAGTTCTTTGCTGCAAAGAGCATCTACAATACCTGGAGTATATGAACCCATTGAAGCATCTTCTGGACTTGTTGAAAGAATTGTGGGATCAAGCTAGTGCTTTCTTACTAGATGTAAACTCTCTCAGAAACATAAATGGTATATTGGCAAAAATATCAGTTGCTAAAATCAAGATAAGACTTTTTTTTCCTTATGAACAGGAATGATTTTTATGGACTTTTTGTGGAGTTGGGCTTCAGAGCTGACTTGACAAACTACCACATGGTCCTTGTGGAATGAGTGTGAGTGATAAGTGATAATTATGAATCATGAACGTGCTCATGTTGCCATCGGTATCATTTGACGCTTAATGCTTATAGTAAGTGTTTTAATCTTCATAACATAATACACAGTAGATGGTCTCCTTGCTTCTTTTTATCAGTGGGACCCCTGAGGGTCAGAGAAAGTGACTTACTTGAGGTCATCTGGCTAATAGGATGTAGAGCGGGGATGTAAACCCACACACTTCCTGTAGGGCTTCCAATGTAGGAGGCTGAACCAGCTGTGTGACCCCACTGTGCTCTGTTTCTTGCCAGAGTTGCTCGAGTCACATTTTCCTGTCATTCGTGTTTTAAACTAGTGCTGCTTTCAAACTCCAGTGTGTAGAAGAACTATTGGGGTGACTTGTTAAATTCAGGCCATGGGTGCACCTGCAGACATAGGTCTAGATTCCATTTGTATTTCTAGCAGGTTCTTAAGTGATGCTCAGGAGGCTGGCCTGGGAGCCACATTAAAAGAGCTGCTTTATATGTGTGCCATCACTAGTAAGCTGAAAGGGGTGAGTAGTGAGGGAGGAGCCAAATCTGACACAGCCTTCTTAGTTCTGTGGACTCTGCTCTGGCAATAAGCCAATAGGGTCCACGGGAGTTTCCCGTGGGGAAGTGATATCATTGGAAAACTTCATGGGCACACTATTACTCCCCGTTTTCTTTAAAGACCAACTGTATCTGCTATGTGCAGTCACGTGGCTAAGGAATTTTATATGTGGTCGCCATCCTTCAGTTGATCTGAAGGTGCTGCTCTCATTTGACTTGGAACCTGCTGTCTTGCCAAACACCTGACAGTGAGGCTGGATGGCTGGACGGACAGAGGGCAGGTCAGCGGGTGGATATGCAGTTTTCTTGGGTTCCAGAATTCCTGAAGTAAGTCTGCCTTTGCTGTACTTTGATCCTGAGATTTAGATTTCTCTTCTCCAAAACCTTCCCCTAGTAACCGTGTTCATGAGACAGCTGCCTTGGGTGTTTTGTGGGTGCTGTCTAGTTCTTGACCTTCCATGTTGGTAGAAGCCACACTGTAAAGACAGCCAGACAGGTAGAGCTCTGCAGATGCAGACCACCATGGTTCCTGTGATAGCAAAGGCAACAAGGGCTCATAGGACCCACCCAAAGATATTCCTTGCAAATGGAAGCAACTCTGGGCAGCACTTAAGCTGTTTCAGGCCAGTGGTACCCCCTTCTAATGGGCATAGATCTGGAGAGCAGCAAAAGTCTGCCTCCATCTGTCCCTCTCCTCTCTCAGGCTTGTGCACACC